GGCCTTGACAGTAATGAATGTAACATTTCATTCCAGTCAATAACTGATATTTAAATAATATGATGTTCCTTGTTACAGATATAATGTCCCCCAGACCGAATTTCAGTCACGGCGGTCAGCCTAAACAGGACTATAGTGCCCAGGTGCACTCTCTATTCCCACACAGTCATAGTCCACTGGGACGGTAAAACGACATGACCGGAGGGAGATCAAACGAAGGAACAACGCCTTTACGTATTTTCCGAGGTATGGCGGTGAAACACGGCCAACTGTCTGACTCCAGGCAGCTACTGAGAACTTCTTGACAGAAAAAGTCAATAGTACCTGATTTTTTCTCCCGACCTGGAATTTGAACGGGAGCCCCCATGATCAGCTGGGATTGGCCGACGAGGCAGTCATTGCAAATATATTTATATAAGGAACATAAACACTATTACACAATAAAATAAAAAGTATATACTTCTTGAACTTCCACTAGTTTAGTTTTAGTCACTAGTAATCGCATGTGTTTATGACAACATAAAATATTGAACGATGTATTCAAAGTGGTAACAATACGCATATTGCTAATGCAGGCGTCTAAATGTGCCATAAACAAACAGGAAAAGGTGTAGAGAATTTGAACGTTCAGAGAAAAATGAAACAAATATTAGTTCAGGGCTTAGTGTTGTACATTTTTCCCTGTGGATTGGAGTGCTAGATCTAGAGAAGAGGGATAGAGACATTAGAAATGTACTTCAAAAAAAAAACAAAACTCCAAGATTCGTGACTTTTTTTAACCTTTTCGGCTATTTCTCCACACGTCCACACGGATTAGCATTTTTTTTATAACAATGAACCATAAATTGACGAAGTCAGAACATTTACTCGTCAGTTTATAATCGTTCAACATGTATGACAATTATAATAATTCACCTTCAATAAAAGTATTCACCTACACCGCGACGAACGCGAACTCATCACCATAACATAACAATATTCAACATAATTTAACGCATTTTTATCTTATATTTTTCACTTGTTTAACAAACTGTTTTAACATAAACTTTAAACTATTATTGAACATTCGTCCAATACTCGAACAACAACAGTATTGGCAATGCAAAAAGTGTGTAATGTGTGTCATGTGCAAATATTACAATTGTAATGTTAGCACCTCACGTCAAAACATTACGGTGTTGCAGACACTATGTGGGTTGTTCTTATGTCATAACACGCAAAACTTTACAAACAAACCTTAGAACAAACACACAAGCACGTTACGTCAATGTTGACAAGCGACGCTGTCTCTAGACATTGCCATATTTTCCCGTATCACACCTAGCTTAATGTTTAATATGTGGATTATGAAAAGTAAATATTAGATATCAAAATAACCCGTAAAATGAACAGGTTTTTAAGGATATAAAAATGGAGTAATTATTAGGGATGGACCGAATATTCGTTTCATATTCGGTATTCGGCATATTCGGTAAGAATATTCGTATTCGGCCAAATATTCGGCTAAATTACCGAACATTCGTTAAAGTGGTACTCAGTGTCCACTGTATTGAAATGTACGAATTGAGTAATGCCATGTCTTTCATAATTTTACTGATGAAAGTATATTTTAGTTATGTACTTGTATACTACTTGTATAAAAGCTTGTACTTGTATACAAGTACTAAACTTACGCTACTTGTATAGCGTTATGTTTTTGAGGCACTGTGGATTTATTTATAATTATAGCAAATAGAAAGCTTGATAAAGCATTTTAGGAATCAAACAAAGAAACATTATCTACATTACATTAGTACATTTCACTTTACTTTGGTCGTCAGTTTCTCTAAATAAGTCCAAATAGTAGATCACCTGTCACTCATTTTTATCATATAGTAATTATCAATTTTAGCTAAGAATAACACAAAGAAATCCTTTTTTTTTCTCACAAAAATAGTCAAAACATAGGCATGTGCCGGCAATTTGCTCAGTACTATAAAATAGCATGTCAGGTGTGGCGGGTGCTACGGTCCGCTAATCCGGCGCGATTTAGGTCTCGACATAAATTGGTTAGGTACCGAGGTGAAGCTGCCGTGCCCTCGTTAACAGCAAGAGTAAACTGTCCCTAAGACACAAACTCCGACTGTAGAAAACCTGCATTAGACCAGTTATGTCCTATGCAAGTGTAGCTTTCGCCCACACATATAAGACCCATATTTTAAAACTCCAAAGAGTATAAAACTTTTTCATCCGGAAAGCCTACCGGCGCACGGTGGTATCAACGGAACTCTGACTTACACAATGATTGTGAACTACCATCTATCTCCGAATATTTTAAGGAGATGTCCCAACGCTACTTTGATAGAGTAGAAACCCACCCTAACCCGCTAGTGACAAACGCAGTTAACTACGTTCCGATAGCAAACGTCGCGCCCTATCTCCGTAGACCGCGAAATGTTTTAATAGAACCACCTATATCGCTCGATCCAGTCGACCCAAGCGTCGCAGGCACATCACACAACGACACTACACCCACACTAAATGAGACAAACACAAATAGGACAACGAATGGGACGCGTCGCACCCGCAGACGGGCACGACGCGTTCCAGCTTACACCGCGTACACACCGTACACCCGCGTTCCTGGACGGTTCTCACCGCCCAGACCATCAACCAACACGAGCTGAGCAGTCAGAGACGGGGGTCCGCACTCCCCCCCCTCGGACTGCGGTTAGATAGCTCAAAGAAAAACGCCTAAAAGGCGACATGATGATTGGTAACAATATCAAATCATAAATCATCTCATCATCATTTTCACCTCATTGCCTTTCCCTTTTTAATTAGCTCGCGGCATTGCAGGCCGCGAGCCCTGAGACAAGATGAAGCTGTAAGAGTCGCATAGACTAACAGCACTAACATCAAGATAATAGAGAGTGAAGCTGCCGTATAATGTTCGGCGGAATATTCGGTGAGGTAAATGTTTTACCGAACATTCAGCCGAATATTCGTATTCGGTGAAATCCATATTCGGCCCATCTCTAATAATTATGATATGACCATATATACATACTTTTATTTATTTATTTAATCTTCCTTATAATACATTTTAATAAGTGTTATAATGGGCGGACTTATTTATATTATTTGTAGGCCATACAAATACTTGTTCCGTGCGGGATTCAAACCTGCGGGCCTTAGCACTGCAACTCATTGCCAAGGCACTGCGCAACGGAGCTGGGAGAAATAGATAAATGAAAGTTACATATAATAGTGATAATTAATGTGGTAGTTTTGTAGTTATATTATGGATGTAGCATGAATGGGTGGTTCGACCGGGATACAACGCTCTCACAGAATGACCGTGTAAAACAGCAGCATTGAGACATTTCAGTCCTCAGCGATGAAACGCATCTCTGTATTTTGATTCTTAATCGAAGTTAAATGTTGTAGATGTCTATGGGCAACAGTAGTCACTGACCGGTGTGCTGACTTGACATCCTTATTCTATAAAAAAAACCATCACATCTGCAACCAATTAATAAAGAAGACTACAGACGCGTTGTTACCTCTGAACACAAAGATGGAATGCCACACATGTACCTAATTATTAAACTGGCTTTCTTCACCTTTCATACCAGAATAGAGAAGTGTTGAATACATGTAGGTATATTAACTTACAGTTGGATATATGCATTTCAGTTTGGTCCTATTTTAAGCTCTTAAGAACCTCATATCAACAACCTATTCAAGTAGATACTCCTCAACAGAAAAAAAACAGTAGGACACTATAATTTTTTTTAAATAATGCTAATAATATGATTTGGTGATTAATTTCGCTAAATAATGAAATTAGTCCTAAAATTATAATGCATTAAGACAACTGATAATGTAAGGCATAATAAGCAAAGTATATTACAGCTTAAGTACACTCTAATCAGCTGGTCATTATTTTTCTGCTTATATTTGTTACACCACCAGTGAGTCATATTCTGATTTAAATGGCTGCTGTTAAACTACACAGTAGTGATTTCATTGTAGTTTTATTATATAATTTACAATGTGTTGAGACGGCGTCATAGCTACGTGAATTTAAAAGCGTGATCTTTTCAAGGTTACCGCAAAAGCCCATAAGCCGTCCTCTATTGCATACACATTACACACAGTTCTTCAACGTTCAGATGTTTTGATATAATCACCATGATCATACGCGGTAGAGCCATGCTGCAGTTATATTAGTACTCAGTAGTACAGTTGTAGCACGAACGGGTCAGCTCGGCCGTGGCAGGACAACGCTCTCACAGAATACCAGCGTAAAATAGTAGCTTAACGCTTCTGTGTTTCGTATGGTGAGTGTAGAGAACCGGAGACCCTTTTTACTGGAGACGAGGCATTAGATTTTAGTCCTCATGGGTGACAACGCATCTGCATTTTGATTCGTAATCGAGGATAGTTGTAGATGTATATGGGCCACAGCAACCACTTACCATCAGGTGGACCGTGTGTTCGTTTGTTACCATAACTCATTAAAAAATCGAATTATAGAGTAGACGGCAGAATTGCTAGCAGCGTAATACATACTACGTCACGATTAGAATTTAAGCCAAACTCTAAATATTTTTACTTAAAATTGACCTATATAATGTCAAATTCAACTCACAGATTCTTAATCGAAGATAGGTGTAGATCACCATGAGCCACATGAGCCACAGCATTACCATCAGGACGGTCTGTTCGTTTTCATACTCATTCCATAAAAAAGCTACGCGGTCGGTTCAAAAAGCTACGCGGTCGGTTCAACAAGTCGCAAGTGTAAGCGGCAAGATACTCGTACACACGATAAGTTTACTACTTTTCGTCTCAATAGTTAGAATTTTGTTTATAACACACATTAAAAAATGTAGAAATAAAAATTTATCTTTTGTGGTCTATCAAATCTTTCGTTAAATTAGTTTAAATCAATGCGTAGTACATATTAAATATTCGCAATAAATATAAGAAATCATCAGATTAAAATGTCTTACCTGACCCCTAATCGTGAGCTTTTTACAGTCCTTGGAGAGTAGATCTCTGACGTCCTCTAAGTACAGCTCGACGTAGGAACAGGAGACGAGGTGGGTGACGTCGGGAGAGGCGGTGTTTTCGATGTGTGCCCACAGGTGGCGAAACGCGCGTGGAATGATGCCCTCATCGTCCGGGGTGCCCTCCATCGTGTGGGTCTTGCCCGTGCCCGTCTGCCCGTACGCGAACACGCATCCATTAAAGCCATCCAGCACCGATGCGACAAGTGGACGGACCTAAGACACAAACATTCAAGTTTTATTTACTTTAGGAAAAACTGTATTAAATTTGAAGGATTGTGATAATTTTAGTTTCTTCAACATTACCATCTCGGTGTAGTAGTGGTGTTAGAATATCAACTGCCCCCAATGTCGTTCCGTGGGTGTCGTAAGACGCGGCAGAGGGAAATTGAATCAGGAGATGGGCAGCAGATCTTCCTGATAATAACTCAAAATGACCACAGTTCTTTATTATTTTAAATTGTGTGAGAAAACATTTTTTTTAGATGTTATAAGGAAGACGCTGCTAATGCTCTTCCTTTAGTTTGCCTCAATCTGCCGCCTCTTACGACACTCACGGGACGATATGGGCTAGTGGATATTACACCGCCACTACACGGTCTAGCCTCACAGCATGTAACTTGACTTTACTACCCTTAGTCAAACCTTTATAGGATTCTGTAGCTGTTTTTGTAAATATACTTGTTCTTTTTTGTCTTAAACAATAAATACATAGTCGTGACGAGAATGACTGGAAACGGATCTCGGTGTCAGTAGAACAGCGCTTAAATTGAGAAAGAGAACTTCGCTGATAAGTTTTACTCAAAATGATTTCATAAACAAAGCCAAACACTGACGAATTAAGACTCTCTTAAGACAGACTCCCATTCCAAGCACGTACTTAATTTGATTGGTTTGATTTTAATCTTGACCCCAACTCGAGCGTGAAGGTTATCTTGTAAAAAGCTTATTATAATTTTAGTACAAAACACGAAGGATGACGTACGTAGTTTTTTTAATGTTTCTGAATAAAATTTGCAACTGTGAGAAAAGATTTTCCTGCCTTTATTGTTGAGCGATAACGATTAAGATAAGATCAGCGATTTTTTTTTATAAATCGGTGGTGACGAAAGAACTTAGAGTCCAACTAATGGCAACTGGCTACTGCGGTACAAGGACTCTTGTAGTGAAGTTCAAACAAAGAAGTCTACAGTTGCGGTGTGACGTCTGAGGACGGAGTAAAATGGCTTACAGCCTGCTAGTATACTGGCTCCCAACAGCCTGACACCGGGACACAGAAGTGTAAGCACTGCTATTGGCGGTAGAACCCTACCTACCCGGACAGATTCCTAGACAGAAAAGAAGTCATCATCACTTAGGAAAAACATATAAGGTATGTTGATCCGATTCGAATGCCTTCTACAATTTGGGGTAACATCGGTTTTTTTTTCATTCAAAACAGTCACTACGTCGGTGCGTTTTTATAAAAGTTTATGTACATACTGTACATGTTTAATTATTCTACATTTATTTTGCACGTTAGTGATATGCCTATATTATAAAAATAGTATATTTAGCAGCATATATTGGATGATTTTTTTTACCGTCTGGAAAGAAATAGGGTGTAACAGGGCGTAAACGAATAAAAGCCTATAGCACTAATATTTCATAATAAATCTAAATATTTTACTTTTTTTTTCTTTTACATTAACATATTATGAAATTAAACTATCAATAAATACCACTAATTAGAATTAAACTTTCGGTACTTAAAATTAAAAACAAACATTTTGAACCAAATAAATAAATCAATTAAAAACTTAAAGCAAAAATTGTAAAATATCAGGGCTTCTATTCCGTTCACCTAGTATCCTGGAACACCCTATTTTTTGCAGACGGTAAAAAAATCACCCAGTATACCTACTTATAAAAATTGGATGTGTTTGTCTTTAACATCGACATAACTGCCTCATACTGAGTCAAAGGGGTTATTTGCGTGTCATTAAGGCTTCATAATAATTTACAAAATAATCTGTCTGTCTGCCCAAGCTAATCTTCGGAGTGACTGATGACTGACTAGATTGTAACGAAACTCCACGAACCGATAGAGAATAATCCTATGAGTGATCTGGGCTATATTTTAGCCCAAACACTTGGATTTTTTTTAAAAAGACGGAAAATTAATTAAGTAAATTGATTATATTAAAATCAAATATCGCCACATGAATAGACCCCTACTTAAGCAAGACTAGGTCAAATCGCTAGTTATATCATAAAATATAATTACGAGTAGATTTATGAATAAAGAATTCTAAATTAGACTTGCAACGAATAATAGTACAATATCTAGCCACACAATAGCGGATATTCTGCGGGTTTCCTAGTCGCATAGCCGATAAATAAAAGTATTCGGTCTGGAAGGGAGTAGTGTTTATTGAGAGCGACTCTTCTCTCAATCTGAGATTGTCTACGAGAAGAAAAAGAGTGAACTACCGTCTGAAAATGCAGAATAACTAGTTTTTCTACACCATTATCTTCCACTTTAATTAATAAATTCAAGTGCATAAACATTATTTATTTGATAGTTTTATTTTTTATTCTTATCATACAGAAGTTGATTATGTAGGTACCAATGACTACTTTAATGATTATAAGGAAAACACATTATTATAAAATAAATCAATGTTTTCATTTTATCAATCATCTAACTGCGACGAAAACATCTTAAGTGTTCGCTATTCGGGAGAAAATTACCTAGATATTCGGTATTCGACCGTATAGGATAAAAGTAGCCTAATATGCCGAATACAGAATAATGGCCGAGTATTCGTTGCAAGTATATTCTAAATATTTCCAACCAGCTACTTAAGTTTCAAAATTTAAATATATTATGCGACCGTTATCACTTAGACAAAATACGTGATAATGTCCAGTCAAATACTGCTACTTCATTACCTCAAAAAAAAAGAGATCAAAAATTGCAAATGATATCGAACTCGTCTTTCACTTTTCAAATAGTAATATTAGTATTACCTGCATAATTACAAAACACACAATAATTATATGAAATGCGTAATGCCATCGCTGTTCCACTGAAACGTGAAAACAGATGGTAGAGTGCCCGCCGGTAAGTTGCAAAGCACGCGCACCTTGACTCAAACTTAAAAAAACAAAAGCATCGTTTAGGGTTATCAATTAAATTGATTAAAAATAGAAATGGTTTGGAATTATATCAGTTTGAATATAAATATAAAAACTGAACCACAACATGTATTTGTGTTAACTTTTCGCTGTTCATTTGAACACAAATGGCAGTAAATAATCGAAGTTCAAATGTACTTTTAACTTTGAGGTTACGACATACCTCGTCACACGTATAATCTTAAAAAATTAAAAACAACATTGTAAAACAAGAAGTACCCTTAACCGACGAGCATGTACGCGTAGGTGTATGGATGTGGAGAAGGCGAGAGAGGTGTGTCAAGATCGTGCCAAATGGAAGTCTGTAGTCTCTGCCTACCCCTCTGGGTGACAGGCGTGAGTGTTTTATTATATAAAACAAGTGCGTGTTGTTAGTGATGGATATATGGTTCTGAAACGTGGACCTTCACTGCTGGCGGTATGAGAAAACTCAAGGTTGCTCAGCGAGCTATGGAGAGGATAATGAAATTCTCAGCGTGATAAAATAAAAAGATCGCAATAAAGAGATCCTCAGTTGAACTAGGGAAACCGCCATTTGAATGTTGGAAGATGGACAAGAAAGGTAAGCGAAGGTATGGGACCCCTACAAGATGAAGTGATGACCTGACCTGAGATACAGGATGTCGATGGATGCAGGCAGCTTAGGAATTTTGTTCAGCAGTGAACTTATGATGGCCTATAATGATGATGATGAAATATTTAATTTTCTGCTCTTTATTTTGTTTATTTATTTACAATTATTTATCGTCTTCAAAAAACATTCAGAAAAATCGGAGAAGAACATGACAGTGGAATACACAGTCTGTAAAAAAAAATACTAATTTGGGTTAATTTTAAAAACTGAATATCCTTTTGCGCCTCTAAATATAATAAACACCTTTTGTTCTATAATCTGAGAGTTACGCCAATGCTACTTTCCACTAAAGCTATAAAAATTACACTTTAAGGTTAATTAATTTTGAGACAGCCCTATTAAACATGTTTAACATGTTTTCTACACGTTTTGTTCTATGGTCTGAAATTAACACCAATGTTCCTTTTGACTAAAGCCACAAAAAATTTACACCTTAAGATTTAAAACGATTAGTGAAAGTTTCCGTGATAAATTTTGAGACAACCCTATTCACACAGTACCGCTGCAATTCATTACAAGCAGCGTGCTTCGCGAACAAAAGCTGATCATTTTTACACACCGTACATTTTATTCGGCACAGTAAACATCTGGTGTCAGCACGTGAGTCAGACGCGCCTAGTTACCCGGCACTTCGCGCAATTCACCAAAGCACTATATTTAGTAAAGACCGCGTGTTTGTTCGGCTATTAAAGGTAATACTACGTTAGTACTATAATTTATTATGTGGTAATACCTCATATTTGTGTAATTGTTCATTCCGTTCAATTCCGTCCTCCATGGTGGCACTACTCCAGAGGCGTGGAGCAGAAGTGCGGTGGTCTTGTTCTTTAAGAAAGGCGACAACGCTCTCTTGAAGAACTACAGACCGATTTCCCTTCTGAGCCGCGTCTACGTGCTGTTTTCGAGAGTCATTTACGAATCGTCTCGCACGCAGACTCGACGACTTCCAGCCTCCCGAACAAGCCGGTTTCCGAAAAGGGTTCAGTACCATAGACCACATACATACCCTGCGGCAGATTGTACAGAAGACTGAAGAGTACAATTTGTTACTTTGCCTGGCGTATGTGGACTATGAGAAAGCCTTTGATTCCGTCGAAATTTGGGCGGTGCTGCAGTCCCTTCAGCGGTGCCAAGTTGACTGTCGGTATATCGAAGTGCTGAAGTGTTTGTACAGCAGGGCTACGATGGCTATCCGAGTACAGAACCAGAGCTCGAAACCTATCCAACTGCAGAGAGGTGTAAGACAGGGTGACGTTATATCCCCGAAACTCTTCACCGCTGCTTTGGAAGACGTTTTCAAGCTACTGGACTGGAAAGGATACGGTATTAATATCAATGGCGAGTACATCACTCACCTTCGATTTGCCGACGATATAGTCCTTATGGCAGAATCGCTGGAGGA